CTGACTTTATCCACATGAGAATGAAGGATGGTACTTCAACAGGATTTTTTTTTTTTTTTTATGGCTAACTGTGGGCTTAGGCTACTTCTTCAAGCTTCATGAGGATTACAAGAGCAGAAAGATCCAATAAGAAAGCTGCTTTATTTCTGTCCCTCTGCAAAATCTGCTTGCACAAACAAAACACCAGGGAATGGAGAGAACCTCCACCAAATGATCTCTGTCCCCTTCACTCACAGCAGTAGATCAGAAGTTGTGAGTGGCTAATCCAGACAGCAGAGAAAAAAATACATTCAATTCTCTAAATCAGAAAGGACTAAAATGTTGATAATAATATTGACATGAATATATATTCTTCCAAAGCCAGACTAAATCTGGTGGTTCAATCTGAGCAGGATTGCCTGGCAGTTCAGGACACATTTCCAAACACCTGCTGATGCTCCCCTGTGTCATGCTTAGGTCAGTGAATCCACCAAGACCTTTCTACAGCAACTTGGAAAATTAAGGTTGGTGGCTTAGAGCAGCACATTGCTATGGATTTTTGGGGAGAGGGAGATCTTCCTAGAGCAACACCTGGGAAGGGGTGGGAAGGCCACAAAGAGCCAGTTGTCTTGGGGAATCTGCTGCCTTTGTCCATGATCTGACATCCCAAGAGTCAGTGCCCAGCCCATGCAGTGCAGACATTCATGTCCGTGCCTACTTCTCTCCAGCCAGGTGAACCACGGGGTTCTCAACCTGCCTGAAAACCATCAGAAATCTCTTTCATGCTGAGGTGCAAAGCTGCCAGCAACTGGAGAGGAACCATGAACTGAGATTCACTGGTGCAGAATTATCAGTGAAATTGAGGCTTATGGCAGGAGCACCTCACTGCAGAGGGTTGGGTTGGTGGGTTAGCTCATGCTGAGAACATGTGGGTACACAGCACATGGCTTCAAACCCAGCCTCTACAAATCATATGAATTAGAAAGGGGTTTTGAAAGGTCTTTACTTAAAGCACTGGCATTACAGATTGTCCTCATCATGGAGCAATGGGAGCTAAAACCCCTCACGGTCTTCTGTCTTATATCTGCCCCTATCAGAGCATGAAACACTCCTGGGGTTTGGTCTCCCACTGCTCCTCAGCAGGCAGAGGCTGTTCCCAAACTCATCTGCTGCACCCAAGCAGCTTTGAGTCCCTCACTGGCACACACCAAATGGGTCCTGTTACTCCCAGGGCTTCCACGCCACTGAGGCACCCCAGGGGATCCCAGCCAACCCCTGGATGCTGTTCCAGAAGGGTTCCCACAGGCCATATTCCCCATCCCATCACGCCCCCATAGCCATGTCCCAGTTTTTCATGCCATCCCCTGTGGCACTGGCCTCCTCTCCTTTGGGCAGCTGGACCCCACACATGACCTGACTTTGGAGGCAGCTGGAAATGGGTCAGGATTTCCAGGGATGTCCTGACTGCTGTGGCCTGTCTGACTGCCTGGAGTGAACATGAGCTGGCAGCTCTCTAATCTCAGGGGCATAACACCACCAATATATCACCCTGCAGATACCCACCCATGCACCAGGCTGCATGAAATTTCCCAGATCCTTACACAGGAATCACCATTTGTGTGAGTTCCTGGCTTTTCCCTGCTATTTTTCCCTGAAGAACACATCCAGCATGGACATTGTACATTGTACAGTCCATTGTACCGTTTTGCCATTTCTCTGGAGGAAACCATATGTATTTATCCTGGGGAACGCCTGTTAGCCTGTGTAATATTTTTGGAAATAATTCCTCTCAAGGGATTTTAATCACTGTTGGTGCATAAAAATAAAATAACAGAATCTCTGACCAGATGGTGTGTTGGGTGACATGGGGCTCTCTTCACCAACATGTAATTCCTCACCAGCCCTTCAGGACCGCTTCCCTCACCAGTCCTTGCAAGAGCTGCCTGCAAGGTCCTCTCACCCTGAACTAAATTCATTTTTGGGAAGGAGGAAAACTTTGAGGCATTTGAGGAAGGGAGATATTTTCAGCAAAATTCAAGGACCAAGGAATGAAACAAGAGAAACAACTTTATCCCTGATCAGAAGCTACTGGAGTTGATCTTCACTGGAGGCCTGCAAGAGGAGAGGCTGATGTGGGATCTGCAGCTCCCTGTTGCCCTGACTTTGCTTGAGAAATCTCTGAGCTTTCCACTCCTCGTGGGAATTTTTTTCTGCAGTCTCAATCACTGCTGATTTTGGTTGATCCAAAGAATGGGGAGTGAAATCCATTGCTTTTCATCATTCAGTAACCACTCACCAGGTTTTGACACAAAGCCAGCTTGGCTCAAAGCTGGGCCCACGGCCAGCTTGAAAATATTCCTGAACCTTTCAACAATCCCTGGCTGGTTTTCAAAGTTAAAACAAAAGCCAAGATCGGGGAAAGTTTGCAAATTTTTAGGTTGTATAAGAAAATATCTGCACAACCTGTGATAAACTCCCCCCATTTGTTTTCAGTTTTTTTTATGCTGAGAGAATCTCGCAGACTCCAGACCCTGTTCTTGCCTCAGGAAGCATAACCATGGTTTTCACCAAAAAGAAAAAAAAAAAAGGACCGGTCTGACAGGTGTGGAGGAAGATACAGGATGTGCTGGGAAGCTACCTGAAAATTATTCTGTCCAATTCACTCTTGTTTGGATGGATTGCTTCTTGTCTAAAGTGTCCCCAGATAGCCCATTGTGTCAGGAGTGTTTGAGTTTATGGCAGACTATGGCAGTGTTGTAAAAAAGCTGGAGCTGTGCATCTCCTGCTGGGTCCATTCCTATGGCTTAGGAACAGGCAGGAATCTCTCTCTGAGCAGGAGAAATAAAGAGTTCTCAGAAAAGCTTGACAGTTTCAGATATTCAACAATATGACAGTCTTCTTATTCAGAAACTTATGAATGCTTAGTCACACAGAGAGAACAAGGAAATTATTTAGTTCCCCCGGTGAAGGGGGCGGGAGTCGTGGCTCTCTAGGTAGTGTGGAACAGAAATACAGCTGCTGCAGCCACAAACAGAGGGAGACTGCAGGGCTGCACTGCCTGGGATGCTGCTCTGTCTGCCATGGTCGGCCAGACATGCACACAGCCACACAACTGCTCTTTATTGGACAGGGAAAACAAAATGGGAAATGTTAAAAGCACATTACTAGTCTTACGGTACTGCTGATTTGACAGTCTGGGAGTCCACAGCCAGCAAACACCAAAAAAATATCTGTATCACTCACTTTGCCTCCACCCTGCCACAGTTTGACACAAGCAAACACATCTAAAACCCCTTTGCAGAGGATTCGAAAAGCTAAAGATTTTTCTTTTCATCTTTTTCTGTCTTTCTTCCTTCTTTCCTTTTTTTCTCTTTTCTTTGTGTCTCTCTATTCTGCATTTTCTAATTGTAAATCTACAGCCATGTCAAGCCTGAAGAAGCCTCCATTAATTGCAAGCAGTTTCACAGTGTTTCCATTTAATAGTGATTTACACAGTTTAAGAGACCACCCCTCTTTGTTCTGTACGCTAAGATTCAGCATGGCCATATTTTTATCCATCAGTGAACAACAACAAAAAAAACCCTCACAAGATTCCTTTCCCCTCTTCTTTGTGTCATTATATGGTTGAGGCAGCCCTACCTGGTGACCACAATCCTGCCCCTCTTCACACACACTCCCAGAGCCTGACATCCCCAGCCCTCTGCCTCTGCCTCCAGTAGAAAGTCACGTTTCACACCCCAACACTCAGCTCAGCGAATGAGCAGCACATCAGCAGATCAGCTGCCTGCCCAGAGCTACAAAACAGCAAAACATTTCCCACATCAGCCGAGGGGTGTTAGATCCTGTTCTACCCCTGAGCTCAGTCACATCCAGCAGACAGGGGAACATCCGTGTCGGGAACACCACGGGCACCGACGCACACCCAGACCCCGCAAAACCACACGTGTGGGTATGAGCAGAGCCAGCTACTCTTTGTGCTGATTGACTGGAGGGGATTAGAAGGGACTCAGCCCAAAAACGCAGTTCCTAATGCTCCTGCAGCTATTGCATAACAGAGATCGATTCCTGTCCCGAGCCCTGACCCTCAACTTACTCAAGACAAGTTTAATGCTTCAGGCTCTGTAATGGAAACATCTACTTCCCAGTGAGACGGGATGTATCAGCTCCCCCAGGGCTGGGGTTTCTGGCTGTTTGGGTTCTCTGACAGACAGCAGTGGGAAAGAAAGTAGGGAATTGTCCCCACGAATGAAATAAAATCATTTTCCCCAAAACATTGCTACCTAAAGCTATGGAGAGCTGAAGCCTCCTGAGGTTCATTAACAGATATACACCTGCTATTAATACATCTACTAAAGAATGCAACCCCAAACCAAGGGAAATTGAACACAACCCAAAAATAAACTGAAAATCAATGAACCTGCAGACCCTAAACTGAATGCACCTGAAGTCAAACACACCTCAGTGCTCCAAAGGTGGAAAACACAGCAAGCAAGAAGTCCACAAAAAAATGAACAAGTCCCAAAAGCATGCACAAAATGTACAAACACTTCAGAATAGGCACTCCATTAAAAGCTGCGTGTTGAAATAATAAGTGACCATGCAGGAATTCCAGGCTCACGGGGGATAGCTGAAGTAAGTCCATTGAGATCTGTCACTCCAGATGTGAACAGGTGTACGACAAATGATGACAGATCCACATCAACTCAGGTGAAATCAAATGCCTTTCAACATTTGCCTGAAATCTGGTTGTCTTGTGCCTAACAAACTGCAAACAGCTTTAGGGAACTTGGCTGTCTCCTGCTTCCCCCCTCCCCCACATCAGCAAAAAATAACTACTTGCAAAGGCCGCAATTCCTCGTTATTTTCTCTTTCCCTCCATGCGCTCACTAACTCGTTAGCAATGTTTCCAAGCAGCCAGGCTGGGAGGAAAACAGAGACAGCGTCAGGAAGGAGACAACCGGGAGACGCCGCTGCCAAGGGCCCCCTTTGTTGAGCATCCCTGGGTACCCCTCGCCTTTTACCTGGGGATGCAGTCGCCATGGAAACGGGCGGGTGTTCCCTGGCGGAGCCGAATCCCGGCTGCTCCCGCTGCTCAGCCCCGTCTCCATCCCGCGCCCAGTGCAGCCCAGTGCCCGCCAGCAGCAGGTCCTGGGGGTCCGGCGGGGCTGCCATGCTGAGCTCCGGCTCTCGGGGGGCAGCGGAAGGGCTGCGGTGGCCGCCGGGCTGGGCTGGAGCTGCGGCTGCGGCCGCGCTGGGCTCTGGCCGGCTGCGGGGACCGGGAGCCGCCGCTGGATCTCCACTAGCGCTTGTTACGCAGGTGAAAATGGCTTGTTAGTCGGAGCCTTCCAGCCCTTGCGTCACCCTGTGGCTGGCATATCACAGGGCAGGAATCTGCCAGCCGGGCTGCCGCTCTCCCCCGTTTAACTGCTTCAGCAGGGTGGGCATCGGCTTGTGCGGGTAGGGGAAGAAATGCCCCCTGGCAGGCAGGCAGGCACACGCCTCCCTCTCCCCTCCCGCAGCCCCCCTCCTCCGCATCCCTGCGCTCAGAGCATCCCGCAGGCGCCGCAGCCGGGCACGGCACCGCCGCCGGCTCCTCCCGCAGCGCCGGGCTCGGCCGGCAGGGCTCAGAGCTCTCAGCGAGCCCTAAAACCCTAAAATCGGCCCGTTCCCCCATCTCCGCCAGCCCCTAACCCAGCGAGAGAAGCCGCGCTGGGTTTGTTTACCCGGTTGGTTCCTCTCTGTTTGCATGATCGCAGCTTATTGGCACTTATCAAAATAAACTCGCAGCAGGTGTCTGTGTGCCTTTTTTTTTTTTTTTTCTCCCTTTTTTTTTTTCCTTCTCCCTTTTTTTTTGTGCCGTTATATTTGCTTCCTTACCGCCTCACAAAATCATGTGTGTGTACCGGGGCGATGAGAAATGTCAGAGATTTTTGCTGTCAGTGAGAGCAGCAGCATGAGATACAGCACAGGTGAAAGCACACGGCAGAGTCTGTGCTTTCACAGAATCTGTGCTGCTTCTCAGGTGAACTAGGAACAAGTTTCCTTGCTGTCCTTTTACAGAGGAGCAAATGGATCCAGGTAACGGGTATGGGATCATTCCTGCATTACACAGAGTTCTGGCACAGGCAGATCAAGGAAATAAATTCCCTGCCTTGCAGAAGGGCCTCTCTCTTGTCATGCGACAGGTCAAGCTGCAAAGTGGACCATAATTGCCCCAGCCAGAAGATTTAATTCCCACTGTCTCTCTGCCTGTTGCAGGAGTGGATCTCCAGCTGTGATCTGTATGTCCCAGCAGCTCTAGGCAGCCTACAGCAAGCTTATGCTTGGGTTTGAAAACTGGACATGTTTCCACTGTTTTCCAGACAAGGGGGGAGGAAATCCAGGGTAAGACCACAATACAAGATGAAAAGCTTCAAAAGTAGCCTCGAGGATTCCCATTTGTGCTATCTTCTCAGGGAATTGCCACCCTTAGCCTCACTCCATCCTGCTGCTGCCTGAGAATCCTAGAATGGTTTGGGATAGAAGGAACCTAAGAGACCAAAGACCACCCAGTTCCACCCCCTGCCATGGGCAGGGACACCTTCCATTATCCCAGGTTGCTCCAAGCCCAATCCAAGCTGGCCTGGAACACTGCCAGGGATGGGGCAGCGGAGCCAGGGCATCACCAGCCTCACAGCCAAGAACATGCCCAGGCTAATTGGATTTTCTTTATTTCAAGACAGGACATGTTTGCTGCAGATCAGCAGCAATGATTTTAGTCACCATGGCTGTAATGCCAAATCCCATCCCATACCATCAGGGTTTACCTCATGAGCAAAAGAGATTAATAGAATGGGTGCACACGGCCACTGGGCATGATTCATTCCCACACACCAAAGGGGTTATCAAGGTCTCAGGCTGCTGCCATGAGCACAGGCAGTGTTACTACAGTAAATACCTGAGAAGAAAGAGTGTGGACTGTGTGCTCTGCTTACTGAGTAGCAATGGGGACAAGCAGGAGCCAGCAGAGTGCCCAGGTAGTCGAGAAGGTCAGTGGCATCCTGGCCTGTATAAAAAAATATGGCAGCAGGGCCAGGGAAGAGATTGTCCCTCTGTGCTGGGCACTGGGGAGACTGCATCTCAAATCCTGTGATGAGTTTTGAGTCCCTCATGGCAATAAAGATTTTGAGGGGCTGCAGAGGAGGGAAGGGAGCTGGGGAAGAGCCTGGAGCACAAATCTGATGAGGAGCAGCTGAGGGAGCTGGAGGGGCTCAGCCTGGAGAAAAGGAGGCTCAGGAGGGACCTTCTGGCTCTGCACAGCTCCTGACAGGAGGGTGGAGCAGCCAGGCGGGGGTCGGGCTCTGCTTCCAGGGAACAGGGACAGGACGAGAAGAAATGGCCATAAGTTGTACCAGGAAAGGTTCAGGTTGGACATCAGGAACAAGTTCTCCAAGGAAAGGGTTGTCAAGCATTGCAAGGGGCTGGAGAGGAGTCACCATGCCTGGAGATGTTCAAGAAATGTCTGAAGGTGGCACTCCATGGTTTAGTTGACAGGGAGCTGGTTGGTCAAAGGTTAGGCTTGAAGGTCTTGGAGGCCTTTTCCAACTGTAATGAGTCTACAATTGTATGTAAATAAATAAAGCAAAACAAAAGGTGGTTTTTTTTTCTTTTTTTGCTTCAGGAATCCCAGTTGTAGGGCAACCCAGGATTTTATTCACCATTTCCTATACAGTCAATACAATCAGCTCTGCTCATCATGGTGTAATATTGCAAGGGAAAACCAGAAGTCTTATTTCAAACCTTGGATTCAAACCCTGAGCTCCTACTGACCACCACAGATGTGATACGTACATTTCTGATAGCAAAGCTTTGGTTTGCCAGGTGGAGTGAAAAAAAAAAAACAAAAAAACCTAAGAGGAGCAACAAGACAATACTCAAAAATCTTGATTAGTCCATTTTTCATGCTAACGAGAAAACTTTGAACTTGGCACAACCTGGGCTGTCCAGCATGAAGTTAATTTACAGGGGTTTTTTAAGTTCCCCACAGGAAAATCAGGCTGGATGAAGATTTAATCTAATACCTATTTAAGAGAGGTGTGAGTTTTAAGTGGCACAAGGAACGAAAATGTATTCTTTCTATTTTGAAAGCATTTACAAAAGCTCCTGGTAGTTTGTATAGTATTGTGTAGCAAACTGACCTGCACAGGGCTCATCTATCTCTGCTTATTGGTATTTAATTATCTTGATCTACCCTTTGGACATTATAAACCTCTGAATGTATGAAGTCTGAGAACACAGACACACAAATTGCTTCTCTTTCCATTACAGCCCTTTGTGTTCTGGGGATGCTGCATGATGCTGGGACAAAGTGACTTTGAACCTTGAGGGAATTTGTGGTCTCAGATGTAAAATTAGCAGCAAAGAGCCCAGGACCTGGCAGGGTATATTAAGGGATTCAGCAATGGAAAAAAATCATCTCCTCTTCCTTGAGGATTTATTCTGGAGGTTTTAGAATAAATGAATTGCAACAGGAAAAAGAAAAGGGGAAAAAAATCAGCTTTTGACATAAATAGGAAAATGAAGATAAGACCTGTGGGTGCTGGTGGCTCTCCCCACGGCAGAAGCCATTCATCATCTTTCAGTCCACAGAGATCCTTCCCAGGGAGCCCTTTGGGTCTTTGGTCTTCCACCTTCTCCCTCTCCATCTCCACAAGCTCTGGCAATGAAGCAGGGCCAGGCAGCTTCTCCAAGGTCCTTTTCATCTTTTCCTCCCCACAATTGGGGCAATGTTTCAGGTTTTTCTGAAATTAGGCACCCCAAACTCCTGAGCTCCAAGGCATCATCCACCTCCCCACCTTCCCCAGAGCCCCACCACAGGCTCCTGTTCCAGACTGCTTTGGAATTTGGAGTGTCTGCACCAGCCTGTGGGTCTTAGACCAGCTCTGCTCTGCAGGAACAAGCATCTCAGTGCCAGGAAAATGGGCCAAGGCCAGGAAAGGCAGAAGGTGCAGGTGTGATGACAGCTTTCCAGCTTTCCCAGACAAACAGCTGTGTAGGGAGTGCTTCCCTTTGCAAAGAACAGAGATAAGGCAGGTACTGAGTCCAAAACTGCAGCTCTCTAAAATGATCTGGATAGTCCCACTCTTACCACTTGCACTAAAATGGGGAGACTGGTTCACCTTGGATCTTTAGTAAGTGCAATTTAAAGAATACCAGAGTCTAAATAACAGCATTTTTACTGCATGCTGTGTAATTTAACCTCCATTCACTGCTCTGAGGTTTGCTGGGTGCATCACAGCAGAGCACAGAGACCCTGCTTGGCCCTTTAATTCCCACATCATGCAAGAGCTTTCAGCTTCTCCAGCCCTCCAGTTGTAATGCAATGTGATTAAAGGTGGTGCTTTCCCTGGGTAAGCCTGACTGACTGCTCCATCCTTCATCCCCTGCACATCAACAGCCGCTCTAGGAGCGCTGAGGATTACTTCTGTTTCTCTGGAAAGATGGTTCTGCAAGGAAATCAGGAGCTCAAACAGCAAAATTATCAAACCTGTGACCTGGCACAGCTGTGGGGTGGGTGCTGGTCAGGGGTCAGAGAGGAGGAAACCTCCCAGGCCTCTGCTGAGCGTGGCCAGTTCTCCCTCCTTCCCAGCTTCAAGCTCTTTGCAGGGACAGAGCTGAGCAGAGCGGACAGGTGAGTAGGTGGGATATACAAAATACATGCAGCACTGGCCTAGTTTCAGCAGGGCTTGGCAGCTGGATTTCTCCCCCAAGTGTCTGAAAGGCTCTGCACTCCCCTCTAGAGCACACAAACATCTGCTGAAGTGGCTCCTTGTCCTGGAGGGGCCTTGCCCAGCAGTCTGAATCTGAATCCATGCAATATCTGAGGATATTTGCATCCTCCATGTGGCAGCAGGATCTCTGCACGCCACTGCAGGTGCTGCTCAGGAGCATCTTCAGAACAACAAACTTTTTCTCCTTTTACAGTGCTCATCCTGGGAGCCCAGCCCAAAGGATACTACAAGAAGAAACATTAGAATTTGTCCTGTAGAGATTCCCAGCTGCATGGAACAGGACTTCCTTCTCTGAGTCCTGGCAGAGCAGTTTCAGAGGCCAGTCATCACTGAGGAAAATGTTCAGACACCACTGGGTCTGGTGCTATTTAATTGCACTGTTAATGATCCAGCTGAAAGGAAAGCATGAGACAAGACAGTCCATGTGAGCCCTGAGCAGATCATCCCAGAAGTCTATGTGGGCAATGGTTTGATACTGGTTAAACAGTGAAAGCAAACAAAAAGATAATTACAATAAAAATATCCACAAATTTGCTTAGGGAGAAGCTGGAAAAAGGGAGACACAGGTCTGGCCAGAATTGTGTCAATCATAGGACAGTTATGCTGGTACTTGAAAGGTACAGCCAGAGATGCAGAAACAGATTTTTTAATGCATTCTCATTCCCTTGCATTACATCAGAAGGTATTTGTGCACAGAGCGCTCTGTACATTACACAGCTCCTCAGTAAGTCCATTAGGGGTTGGCTTCTGAGTCCTGATTTATGCTGATCCATGCCTTTATCAGGCTCTGAGCGTTGATTATGCACCATTTGCACATCTCCAGAAACCCATGGATACGAAAGATTACAGCTTGTGAGCTGGAGGAGACTCAAATGGTTTTCATTTCTAATTTGCCATGGCACAGAGGGTACCAGAGACTCGACCTCTGGAGATAAAACCCACAATCCCTTCCAAAACCCACAAGAGGTTGCTCCTTTTAGTGTAACTGAGAGGCACAACCTCCATTCCTAGGATCCAGAACTGCTGCAA